ACGACCATTATATCCGCTACCAAACCGTATTATCACCAAACCAAGGACAAATCATTATGGAAACTACCTGCTCTAAAGAAATCAACCTTAATAATTGGATCATCTAACCTGAATCGAATTACCAAAACCAGTTCAGACACCGAAATACATTCTTACCCCGGTGCCCAAATCCATCACATACAGTCAACCCTGGAATCATACGACCATGATCCCAAACCTACTACCATTATTCTTCATGTAGGCCTCAACAACCGTGATCAGATACCAAAGACCTCCTTTAACCAAGCCCAGAAATTAATCGCCACAGCCAACAAAACCTTCCCAAACTCCAAGATCCTCTTCACATGTATACCCATCTCAAATAAAATCTCGAAGAAAGCACAACAGAACCTCAGCACCCTCAACAACATGATGATGGAGTCCAGTATCAACAGCGCAACAATCTTACCACCCTACGAAGAAGAATTCGAAACAGTTGATAATCTTCATTGGTCTCCAGAAACAGCAAACAACATTTATTTGTTTTGGATACACCAGCTTCAAGCATCGAGTAAGTCTTTAAACTAATTACTGGGGATAAAAAGACTGAGAGGCCACCGCTAGGCCAAACTGTAGTTAACTTGAGCTGCAAAATTCTCACACCCCTTCAGCATTCAATCTTAGACCGTGGACTTAAGTTTATTCCCACACCAAAGATAGCTAACTTGGATTATCTCCGACCATCCATTGAACGATTTCAACGAAATCTTAGCTGCACATATTTTTTTCGAAACCACCCCCCACGTGGTGCTAGAACAATGTTTATTCCTAAATCCACGTGGACACCCCCTCAGGCCGCCATCCATCCTGAAATATTGAAACATTTGCCAGTATGAATAGCCAAACAGTGAACCTTTCCATAACACACGAAAAGCCTAATCTCACACGAGTGGAACGTGAAGCGTTAAACTTACTTAAGAAAGACGATAGCATTGTTATTAAAAAGAGTGACAAAGGTTCATGTTGTGTCATTCTGAATAGGGAGGATTACGTTTCAGAAGCAGAGAATCAACTGAATAATCCTAAACATTATGCCATTTTACCGAAACCAATTTTCAAAGAAACTGACATGACTAACATGATTAATAATATTCTTGCCGATTTAGTCAAAACTAGTTATCTCAAACAGAAACAATATGACTATCTGTCTGCCAAACCTGATTGTCGCGAGAGACATTTGTACACTTTGCCTAAAATCCATAAGAATCCAACCAAGGAGTGGTTTATCTCGAATAAAATCCCTAAAGGCCGCCCGATTATATCTGACTGTGGTAGTGAGTCATATGCAGTGTCAGAATACATTGATCATTTCTTACTACCTCTAGCATGCCAACATCGCGCCTACCTTAAAGACACAACCGATTTTGTCAATAAAATAAAAAATCTTCGAGTTCCCTCTAATGCTATTTTAATTTCTATCGACGTTTCTTCTATGTATACCAATATCGATAACACTACTGGTTTAACGGCAGTTCGTAAAGCTTTTAATAGAAACCCAGATCCAAACAGACCCGACGATGCAATTCTACAGCTTTTAGAGATTTGTCTTAGTCGAAACGATTTCACATTTAATGGTAAAACATTTACAAACTTCAGGGACAGCAATGGGCAAACGATTCGCCCCTTCGTACGCAAACCTTTTCATGGCAGAGTGGGAACGTGAAGTGTTGCCCCTCTGTCCATTTGACCCACTTTTTTACGGACGCTTTTTGGATGACATTTTTATGGTTTGGACTTATTCTATCGAACAGTTTTGAGAATTCTTTGAAATTCTCAACAACCACCATCCTTCTATCAAACTAACCGCAAACGTGAGTGACAAAAGCATAGACTTTCTCGATACCACAGTCTTTAAGGGAGATTCCATAGCAGAAACAAATAAACTGGATATTAAAGTGTATTTCAAAGAAACTGATACTCATCAACTCTTGCACAAGAGCTCCTTTCACCCAAAACATACCTTTTCTGACATAATTAAGTCACAAGTTTTACGATTTCATCGAATTTGTACAAGATCTTCTGATTTCAACCAAGCCTGTACGATTGTTTTCTCAAAACTGAAAGAGCGTGGGTACTCTAAACGATTTTTACGAAACATAAAAAATTCCACCTTAGCACAGATAGCAGCTAAAAACAGACTTTATGCCGAAGTACCTCCAGGTTTAAGAAGTGCTCCATGTTTGTCCAGTAGATGCAAAACATGTCCCTTTATATCAGAAACTCATTATTTTGTAAGAAACTCTACGAATAAAAGGTATCCGATCCAGGAACATCTAACATGTGAACATTCGAATGTAATATATTTAATTTCATGCAAGAAATGCCCCAAACAATATGTAGGAGAAACTAAGAATAATTTACGAACTCGCTTTAATGCTCATAGGTCAGACATCAAATTAAAGAAAGACAAGCCTGTTTCTAATCATTTCAACCTCGACGACCATTCAATAGACGATCTCACCCTAATCCCAATTGAGCGTATAGAAATTGACTTGCCCGAAGATGAAACTACCAAATTCCGTCAATCTAGGGAGGCCCATTGGATTGAGACATTGAATACAGCAAGACCTATAGGACTAAATATTCATCATAATGTAGGCATAGCACCCTTTGTTGTCCCGTTTAATACAACCAGCAATCGAGCAAGCAAGATAGTTCATGCCCACTATAAGAGCCTTCAAGAGAAATTCCCCCATGTCTATAAGCAGAAAATGATAGTTGCATATTCAAAAAATAAGAACTTAAATGATAATATTGTTCATAGTAAACTAAAAACAATCAGTACATAACAGATACTATACTTCTCGCCCATCGGGCGAGTTATTTTTTCTAATTTCAGATCAGAATAAGAACAGAAGAAAACCCAATATCAAGACCCTTAATCCTAATTTCTAAATAAAGTGTCTGCTCCACCCTTGGCCTGTACATTTGGGAGAATCAAACCCTCCCTTCCCCGAAATCTAAATTCAAATATCCAAATGTGCCTAGAGATTAATGTATATTGACTGGGATAAAAGAATGTTTGTCAATTAATAAAGACCAAGTTTGGTGAAATCCGGATAAGAAATAAGAAAATTGGTAATGCGCATGCGCACAACAAAAAATGGTTATTTCCATTGAATTTATAATTGGATTATATACATATATGGCAAGATTGATTAAATTTGGATAAGAAATAAGAAAGTTGTTAATGAGCATGCGCACAACAAAAATGCAATAATTCCATTAGATTTAGAATTGGATTATACACATACATACCAAGTTTCGTGAATTTGGGATAAGAAATAAGAAAGTCAGTAATGCGCATGCGCACAACAAAAAATCTATAGTTCCATCAAATTTAGAATTGGATTATAAACATACATACCAATTTTGATGACATTCGGACACGAAATAAGAAAGTTGGCAATGCGCATGCGCACAACAAAAATTCAATATTTCAATCAAATTTAGAATTGGAGTGTACACATACATACCAAGTTTGATTAAATTCGGATAAGAAATAAGAAAGTTGTTGCGCACAACAAAAATTCAATATTTCCATCAAATTTAAGAATTGTATTATACACATACATACCAAGTTTGGTGAAATTCGGATAAGAAATAAGAAAGTTGGCAATGCGCACGCGCACAACAAAAATTCAATATTTCCATCAAATTTAGAATTGGGTTATACACATACATGCCAAGTTTGATGAAATTCGGATACGAAATAAGAAAGTTGGTAATGAGCATGCGCACAACAAAAATTCAATATTTCCATCAAATTTAGAATTGGATTATACACATACATATCAAGTTTGGTGAAATTCGGATAAGAAATAAGAAAGTTGACAATGCGCATGCTGTGATATTGTTTAACTGTGGTCTGAATCTGATGTACTTTATGATTGATATGAGTTATCTGGTCTTGGGTGTTGTTGTCTATGCCACCATTTTGAAATAATCATGTTCTGATTTATTCTATTATTATCTTGAATCATCGACTTCCCAAATGGTCATCCAACTCAGGAGATAACATATTTGGCGACGAAGATACTTGATCTTGATGTCTACGTGCCTTAAGCTGATAATTTTGCTTTGGTGGGTGAAATTTCTTACATTTTAAGTTACAACTTCTCTACAATTTTCATTGAAGATGAATACGATTGGCATAGCACCTCCACCACCATACCTAAGTTGCCCTGGAAAACTCCTATTGCCTGGAATCAATGGATTCAATTATTTATTAATTACATGGATGCTTCAGATTATACAAATTTTGCGGAAGCCAGGAAGAAGGCTATCTTATTACATTCCAAAAGATATTCTATACATTATCAGAAGATTCTGCAGAGCTCGACGAAGAAGATGATGAATATTCTTTCTCGGTGAAAATCCTAGAAAATCACTTCCAACCCGATGTAAATGTCGTGGCTGAAAGATACAGATTTAAAAGACATGCACAAACACCAAGGGAAACCATTGATGAATATCTGGCAGCACTGAGAGAACTCGCTACTTGCTGTGAATTCCCAGATTTTGACGATAGAATTCGTGATCAAATTGTTGAGAAAACTGCTGCACCTAAAGTGCCTGAAAGACTTTTGATGGAATCTAACAGTAAACTTACTCTTTCAAAAACATTAGAAATTGCAAAGCAAGTTGAAAAGGCTATACGTGAAGCCAAATTGATGGCTGGTGCGACACAGAGTGAAAATTTAAGTGCTTCAGTGAAATATGTTTCTAAATCTTCAAACGCTAGTGCCTATAAATTTACAAATAAAACGCATGTGAAACCATCTGCAGGAAAAAAGGATTTGAGGAAATCTAGTACTAGTAATTCGAATAATTTAAAATGTTTTCGATGTGGATCTAAAAGTCATCTTGCTAATTCTAAGAATAGTAAAGCAAGAACTGCAAAGTGTCATAACTATAAAAAGACAGGTCATTATGAAAGTGTATGTATGAGTCGTTCAGACTATGATTACAATGTATTACAATGTGTTCCTGATGATATACAGATATTAATTCTAAATAATAAGAAGAAGGGCTGATATTAACATAAACAGTTATGACTTTACATTGTTGTGTGACACTGGTAGTCCGGTTACTCTGCAATCTAAAACAGATTTTGAACAATATTTTACAAATGACATTTTACAATCTTCTCGTGTTAGATTAACTTCTTATTCTAAAGATAAAATTAATGTTTTAGGATGTTTTAATGCTTATGTACAATTTAAAGATCATTTTATTAATTCTGTCATACATGTTACGGAACAAGGTGTTTCTTTATTAGGATTAGATCTTATTAATGCCTTAAATTTAATTTTTGATGGAGGTCAAATGGAAGTTAGATTTACTGATGCAAATGGTGTTGAGTCTAAAGTTTCTAAGAATTCTTTTATTTTAGATGATAAATTTGCTGATTTTAATGATTGCTTTGGTGAAGATACAGGTACCATAAAGGGCTTTGTTCATGAAGTTAAGGTTAAGAAAGATGTTAAGCCGGTACAACAAAAATTACGTAGATTACCTATTGCAGTTAAGGATGCTGTTTCAAAAGAACTTAAGCGATTAGAGTCTACTGGTATTATTGAGAAAATTTATTGTTCTGAATGGGTAACTCCCATAGTGGTTGTTTCCAAAAAGAATAGTAACAATGCAAATTCTATAAGACTGTGTGTGGATATGCGAAAGGTCAATGAAGCTATCATTGTAGATAACTTTCCTTTGCCTACGGTGGATGAGTTGTTTAGTGCCTTAAATGGTGCTCATTTCTTCTCAAAATTGGATTTACTAAGTGCTTATCATCTGTTAGAATTGCATGAAAATAGTCGTGATTTAACTGCATTCATAACACATGATGGTTTGTTCAGATTTAAACGTACTTGCTTTGGTTTAGCGTCTGCCCCTAGTGCTTTTCGGAAAATGATGTCCTTTTGTATGGTATTAAAGGTGCTAAGTGTGTTTTGTATGATGTTATTGTTTGGGGTAAGACATAAGAGGAACATGATGAGAATTTGTGTGCTGTTCTACTAAAGTTTCAATCTGTTGGGTTAAAGTTAAATCAAAAGTGTCAATTCAATTTGAAATCAATATAATTTTTTGGTCATGTTTTGTGTGCAGATGGGTAAACCACACCCTAGTTAACTAAGGCTATTATAGATGCTCCTGCTCCCCATGATGTTACATCCTTGAGATCATTTTTAGGTCTAGTAGGATATTATTTTTAATTTTGTCCTGATTATGCTACGTTAATTGAGCCTATGAGAAGATTATTACGCAAAGAAATTGCTTTTATTTGGTCTTCTGAGGTACAAAATAGTTTTACAACTATGAAGAAATTAATTTCTGAACATTTAACACTTGCTTATTTTGATCCTAATATACCTACAATAGTTACTACAGATGCCTCAGGATACGGTCTTGGTGCAGTTTTGGGACAAATACGAAATGCTACAGAAGAAATTATTGCATGAATTTGAGCAATATTTGAAAAGTAGAAATATTAAACATTATTTTTCATCTTTTTATTATCCTCAAGCTAATGGGTTAGTATTGGATTATACACATGCATACCAATTTTGGTGAAATTCGGATAAGAAATAAGAAAGTCAGTGATGCGCATGCGCACTACGCAAATTCGATATATCCACCAAATTTAGAATTCAATGGGGAACCAAACTTGCGAGTTGTCGTACCTTGATGTAGATGGCGCGAGTAGTATATGTCTTTTCGGATATGACGCATTTAACTTCTGCGCATGCGCAGCTTTTTCAATGCGTCATATCCGAAAAGACACAACTGTTCAAATGTATCATAACAGACTCCCCAAACTGCTAAAATGTATTATAACAGACTCCCCAAACTGTTAAAATGTATTATAACAGACTCCTCAAACTGCTAAAATGTATTATAACAGACTCAGCATTCTCCATATAAATACCCAACCACACAAGATTCACTATAATAATACGGTATAAAAAAACCGCATTAAAAAGTAATATGTCTTTAATTTTAAAACACGAACAAAAAAAATTCGAAGGAGACGGTTTCTTCTCTGCGCTAACATCTCTCATCCCCAAAGTGGCCAACTTTGTCTCAAACAACAAATGTGAAAAGATCTAACGAGTTGACTGATTAATGGGAGGTAACACTGTTTTTTTGTTTATACACAGTTGGTTGTCTAGAGTATTATTGATTTAATAAATACCGTTAACGCCTAGTAACAATCACTCCTCTATTGTTGACTGGATATATGTCACGCTATAATTAACATATCACGCGTGCAACGTCTGCACAGACAGTCTCTGGACTGTTAACAGTGTCTCAATTTTTGTTACGCTGGAAGATTAGGAATTTAATCATACAAAATCAAGGTATGTTCTTTTTGTTTGATTTAATCATAAGACGACAGGGTGGAATTAAGATTAATTTCCTGTTTTGTTCAAAATATAAATTTTTGCTTTATTCCAGACACAAGTTTATTAGACATACATTTCATATCACGAAGAATATTTAAACCATCGGTAGGGGGATAGAAAAAGGCCAAGAATTTTTACCAAACTCTGTGACAAATATTCAAGGTTTCAAAATTGTTGATACAGATTTTCGAAAATAGAACCTTTAAATTATGACTGCCAATAGTGTAAGACGGGAGATAATATGACCGCTCTTATAGGATCGCTCGTGACCTCATTTTTCAAACCACTCTTGTATGACCGCTCTTATTAGGATCGCTCGTGACATTTCATAAAGTGAATCATTTCTATCGCTTGAATAGTTTTCTCCTGTATTAAATCTTTCGTATCAAAAATATATGGTGTTTATTTCATTATTGAACAAATATGTCTTTAATAACTATCCATCCTCCTAAAACGTATTTCGGTGCGGGAGACATTCAAAAGTCATTGGGTTCTCTTCCTGGATTCCCATGGGCAAAATATCCCGGAGAAAAACATCTCCCAGGGCACAATTATACAGGTCCAGGCACGAGATTAGATCTGCGTTTAGACGAAAATGATAATTCCAAACCAGGGGAAGAACCCGTTAATAGAGTTGACGCAGCAGCGCTCAAACACGACATACTGTACAGAAACAAAGACATAACATTCAGACAAACGAATGATAGACGAACTTGAAAATATTCCCAATCCCACTTTCATAGAGAAATTACAAAGGGCTCTTATCATAAAACTCTTGAAGGCAAAATTGAAATTGGGTATGGGCATAGCAGACGAGATTCACAAAGAATTTCGAAAAAACAAACATTACCTCAAAGTCAAAGTTTTTGATAAAGATGAAATTTGGTCAGCCGATTTAATCAATATGCCAGTCGAGAGAGGGTACAAGTATTGTTTGACGGTGATCGACATATACACAAGATACGCTTGGGTCTTTCCCTTGAAAAACAAAACGGGTCTGACTGTCAAACAAGCATTCGAAACCATAATGAAACAATCCGACAGAGGACTCCTAAAGTTGTGGGTTGATAAAGGAAGCGAATTCTACAACAGAAATGTGAAATTTACCTTTAACGAAGGTAAAGCCGTAGTGATAGAAAGATTCAACAGGACTCTTAAAAGCAAATTATTCAAGAAATTCACGGAATTGAAATCTCAAAAAATGGCTTAAAATATTACCAGTTGTTGATAACTAATACAATAACAAAATACATTCGTCTATAGGTGTGACGCCAACGCAAGCCTCGAATAACCCGAAGTCCATCAACACTCGAAACAACTTTGAAAACAAGATTAGCAATTTGAATATTAAACCCAAATTCAAAGTTGGAGATCGAGTTCGTATTTTTAAATATAAATCATTATTTCAGAAAGGTTACGTCGGGTATTGGACTAACGAGATATTCATTGTTGATAAAATAAATAGCACATCACCTCCCACGTAGGAATTGATCGATCAAGACAAGGAACAAATCATAGGAAGGTTTTATCAAAATGAACTTCAAAAAACTGACTTTTAAAAATGAATGCATTTTTCGAAAATGAAGATTTAGATGAAAGATTAAGAAATTTAGATGTCGACAAGCATTTGCGTTTTCTTAAATTAAAATTTTTTAAATTAAAATGTAAATTTATCTTCAAAATATTATTGAATATGTTTTATCAGAATGTTGTACAAGTTTTTTCAAACACAAACTACGTATATATTTCGTCAACTTACCGCATACTCAGAAAGAATTCGAAAAACATAACACCTCAAAATATTTTTGATATCTAGGGATTAAACTTTAATACAAAAATCATTATTTCAGAAAGGTTTTATCAACTTCAAAAAACTGACTTTTAAAAATGAATGCATTTCTCGATAAATACGGAAAAGACACGACCACAAACTTTCAACTTGTGAAATGGGCAAAGGAGTTGAACGTCTCGCCGTTTTATTATTGCATGCGAGATGAAATTGATGAACTGAAATACAAGAAAGGTAAATTTTACGCCATCACAAACATTCATACGTCGGATCAAAAAGGAGTTCATCACTCTGCTCTACACAAAGATTCTTTGAATAACTTTTATTTCTTTGATTCTTTCGGTCTAGAACCGACAGAAGAGATAACGAAATTGACTAGCAAACCAATTAAATGTTCTACGTTTCAAATTCAAATGCCAGGACAAAAGTTGTGTGGACAGCTGTCGCTTTGGGTTTTATATCGGTTGAGTTTGGGAGAAAAGTTTGAAGAAATTAGGGTCTTTACCTCTAGAATCTAAAAATCCCATGAGTTCTACGGCGTTTATAAACAAAGCGAAACCTTTTTTCGTGGATCAAATCGAAGACACCTTACAAGGGGATATCGATATGAACAATTTCAAAATAACGAATTTAAAGTTTCCAGGAAACGATAACGATGCCGTGAACAAGAAATATTTACTGGATCAAATAAACGCAATTCAAATAGATAAGGACCATGTTGAAAATAGAATAACTGACGTGAAAAGATACTTCAGACGAAATATTAAAAATTATGTGGACGAACCCAAACTACAACACGAGTTAACGAGTTTGAAACGTCTTATTCAAGTGGATAAAACAAGTCAGTTGCAAAGTTTAATATCTAAATTAGACGATGAGATTACGAAGGTAAAAATAGACGTCCAAAGTTTAATAGATAACCCAAATGTAAACGAGGATAGATTGAAACGCAAACTAACCGCTTTAGGAATAAAACTTGGCGAAAACAGCGGATTGCTAGCAGAACTAGACATCTACCTCGAAAAGTAATTTAGAAATAGATTTTCCCATGAAGGTTAAAGTCAATAAAATAGTCTTCAAACAAATCAGTGCCGTTAATCCTGTCAAACATCTTTCATTTTTCAATGATGGTAATTTGGAAGAGACTATACGTTTGATTGATAAAAGAGACTGGTTATATGAAATTGAAACGAAAAATGGTAAATATGTAGACACCTTTAATATGGAAGTAGAAAATAATAAGAATATTATTGGAATCAAAGATTTAGATATGATATTGGAGACGGAAAATCCACCATCAACTAAAATAATCAAAAACCCAACACCACTACAAGAATCGAGTAGTTATGAGTTTTTACGATCAACAGACTTTGAATACGTAAAACTGTATTTCGCTTTAGGTGGAAAATACACCTCAATCGATGTTCATAAAAGTCAACAAGAAAGAGAGTTTATAGTATATTTATCGTTTGCCGAAGATTTCGACTTCGAGCTTAAGGCTAGTGGTTTTATTTTTAGAGCCAAGATAAACATCGAAAAAGAAAAAAGAAAATATTCCTATCATCTTAACGAGGACCATACGAAAAAAGAAATGTCGTTAGTACGCGTAAATGTTTTTATTTTGAATATACAAAAATATAATAATGCTGGGATTCTCGAAGGGTTTGGTTTATCGGAAATTCACTTAATTTAACGACTTAAAAAATGGAACTCAAAAGCAGACAACAATACATGATAGACAAACAAGAAGAGTTGAAAATAAAGTTAAGACAGTGCAATACATGCAGGAAAACATGGTGTAGAATCGATTATGTTTTCAAAACAGCAAGCACAGTTCTAACGGTAGGAGTAACGGTGGCAACGGCCATGACTGGTGGATTAATGCTTCCGGTCATCGTCCCAACCGCATTGGCTGCATTAACAGCCGTTCAAACGACCTCGTGTGGCCTCATCACTTTAGGTTTCACAAGCAAAAAGCAAGCTCATTATAAAAAGAAAACGGATATCTTGAATATGTATCTCAATCAATTGTACATCTTTTTCGAAAGATCGAGAGAAGACAAGAGCATAACAGTTGAAGAATTAGAAGAATTCAATGAAATTTGGGATAAATTCCATACAGAAATATCAGCGGTCAAAATAAAGAAATAATCAAAAATATATACTTAAGAAAATATGAATAAAATCGAACACGATGGAAAACGCCCTATTTTCCGATGTTATCAAGGCTATTTCCAATAAATTTAAAACATTCAAAGAACAAATTAAAATAGATGGAGAGATAGTCGAGGAAGGGAATCATAGACACTCCTCGGTTTCAATGCCAAAACTTTTCACAATATCTTTTCAAATATGGACAAAAAATCTGATGCTTCCGATTAGTATTTTACAGGAAAAATAATTTTAATGAAAGACAATTTCCAAGAAATTAAAAGATCGCGAGTTGGCAGAGGAGGAACTGATCTACTTAAAAAGATAAATGAATACAAAGGTGAAAATTGTTACATACCTACAGATGGTCACTGTTTTATCAAATGCGTGTTTTGAACAAAGATTTAAAGTGTAAATTTCAAGAATACATCAACGGGTTTTCAAAAGCAAATAGAAAAGGAGTGATGACTTGTGCTAGAATGAAGGAATTCAACACTTCGTTTCAAATTTATAATCCCAAAAATAGACATTTACATCCCAGAGACGTACATGATGAATTAGATTGGGTTTTTTACTAACACAACTCGCATTTCTGTCTGATTTAGATGAAGCCAAAAAAGTTTGGGAATTCAAGAAATAGAAAACAATTACGAACAGGTGTGGAAAACGTGTAGAGATGATAACGCAGTAACACAAGTTTCACCTCTCAAACTAAACGTGCTTTCAAGTATGAGGGATGATGCGTTATTCGCTTGGGATTGCGAAACGTATTCAGAAAAAGACACGCGAAGAGTAATTCCTTATGCCTGCACTTTAATTAATTTAGAAAAACTAAGAAAAAAGTTAGAAACGATAAACGATATCTTTTCAGATTTAAATCCTACTGATAATGTTCCAGAAGACTTTTATGATAAACTAATGAATGTAGTAGAACTATCTGTAGGCACAGATTGTATAGATCAAATGTTGAAATATTTAGGTTAATATGATAGAAAGACATTAATATTAATTTCCCATAACGGTAGTGGTTTTGATACCTGGATCGTGTTTAAAAATACAAAAAAACTAACACAATGCCCTTTAAAAACACCCAGAGGAATTCTATCTTTACCTTTATCTAATCCATACACAGATTACAGAAAAAATGGAAAAGACAGAAAGAAATGAGCGAAAACAATTTGACCGGAAGCGTCAATAAAACAGCCATTTTGATTAGCGTAATATTTCTTAAAATCGATATTTCTCTCTCATTTCTTATCCGATTTGCATGTTTTTGGTGTCAATGGAAACTTAAGACATTTGTCAACAATTCTCTGCAAGCCGAATTTTGAATTTTGATTTTGCTTTCTTTTCATTCTTTAATGAAAATTTTCAAATTTGGTTAATATTTAAGGCTTTTTATCTCGTTACCTTGAAGTCTTATGACCTTGAGTTTTATATGGCTTAATGTCCTCGACAATACCTATCCGATGGTATTTTCATTTTTTGTTTCCGACTATAACTTCTGAAGTTATGGGCGTTTGAAAATAGCGAAATTTTCTTTTAAAGAGCTCTAGCAACCATTCTATTAATGTTATAACCATATTTTTTACAGAAACGTAATCTACGCATCGAGAGCTTTCCATTGATATATAACATGCATACCTTAAATGCAAATTCAAAACCACATTCACCTAACATGGGGCTATTATTGTACAATCCCTGTAAACAACCTGTTTACACTTGTTAGAACTAATTAAAATCAAAAAGTCTATGTTCATTTTAAAGAAACCTTCCCTTATATATTTGTTTAATATGTATTATGTGCAGTTATGGTATATAAATAAGCTCTAGGGTATATTGAACGCTATTATAAGGTAAGTTGAGCTTACAGAAGCACATTAAAGGGATACCCCCACTTAATTTACCAACTTCCTTATTCATTATCCGATTTTCATCAAACTTGGAATGTATGGGTATAATCCAATTCAAAATTGATGGATATATCGACTTTGCGTACTGCGCATACGCATTGCCAACTTTCTTATTTATTATCCGATTTGCATCAAACTTGGTATGTTTGTGTATAATCTAATTCTAAATTTGATGGAATTATCGAATTTGCGTAGTGCGCGTGCGCATTACCAACTTTCTTATTTATTATCCGAATTTCACCAAACTTGGTATGTACGTGTATAATCCAATTCTAAATTTGATGGAAATATTGAATTTTTGTTGTGCGCATGCGCATTACCAACTTTACCATGGTGATAAAGGCTGTCCTTGACCTTCGCGTGACCTTTTGACCTTTGGGGTCAAACAACAACTTCTGATTTTATAGGGGTCTAAATATGGTCAATTTGGTATTTTTGCAGTGCTGTATCTCAAACCCTAATTGATTTAGCGACATACTACTTTCAGATTATCAATGCACTTAATAAATGGATTCAATTTATATGGCATTTGATCGTGTCAAAGTCAAATTAAAGGAAATGTTGCAATTTCCTTAAAACTTTGAACGCTTCTACCAAAGGCACTTGGCCTCGGATGACGTTGATATTTACATTAATATTTACTATTGACTTCAGCTTTTACATGATGTTAATTTTTTTTATGTCCGACACGTGGTTCCGGTTGTATGTATGTCACTGAAAGTTGATTCTGCATCTTTAAAGTGTCCTAACATGTGCCCTATTAGAGATAGAGCAATAATTCTTTCGGATTCATAATGCTGAGATCTTGAGCTTTCCAGTGATATATAACATGCATGCCTTACATGCAAATTCGAAAACCCATACACTTAACAAGGACTATTATTAGATAAATCGACTAATTAGATTAACCTGGCTGTCAACCCCAATAGAAATCAAAGTTTAAGTTGTTTTAAAGACACCTTTCCTTTTACATTCCTTTAATATGTTTTAATTCCAGTTGCGGTATATAAATAAGCTCTTGGGTGGACTGAACAGTGTTATACTGTAAGTTAAGCTTACGGAAGCACATTAAAGGGATACCTCCACTTAATTTACCAACTTTCTTATTTCTTACCCATTTTTCATCAAACTTGGAATATATGTGTATAATCAAATTCTAAATTTCATGGAATAATCGAATTTGCTTAGTGCGCATGCGCATTACCAACTTTCTTATTTCTTATCCGATTTTCATCAAACTTGGCCTGTATGTCTATAAACCAGTTCTAAATTTGATAGAAATATTGAATTTTTGTTGTGCGCATGCGCATTACCAACTGTCTTATTTCTTATCCGAATTTCACCAAACTTGGTATGTATGTGTATAATCCAATTCTAAATTTGATGGAAATATTGAATTTTTGTTGTGCGCATATGCATTATCAACTTTCTTATTTCTTATCCGAATTTAATCAAACTCGCTAGGTATGTGTATAATCCAATTCTAAATTTGATGGAAATCATTAATTTTTGTTGTGCGCATGGGCATTACCAAATTTTGTATTTCTTATCCGGATTTCATCAAACTTGGTCTTTATTAATTGACAAATATTCTTTTATTCCTAGTCAATATACTTTAAACTCCAGGCACTTTTGGATATTTGCATTTAGAGATGCAGAAAAGTATTTCAATGTAATTGCAATAGGCCATCTTCGTATGTACCTGAATGTCGTAACCCGCCCTGCATCAGTACTGTTATTAGAACAGTTCTAGTTTATATCATTACGATAAAAAAATGGTTGAAGAAGAATGGTATGAAACTACTAGAATGGTTGCGAAACATACTGATAAAGAAAATATAGACAAAGTTTATTTGCACACTAATCCTTTTATAAGAAATTTTATCAGACGATCTATTAAAGGAGGAAGAGTTTCGGCAAATAGAAAATCATGTGAAACAATAAAATGGATGAAATTTGTAATGTATTAAAGGAGTTTATTTCAAAAAGTGATACAGAAAGTATTTCACATAACATAATTGATTTATTCAAAGAATACAGGGCAAGCACAAAAGACAAAACAGAGGTTCATTCGAGACTTAAAAAAATAAACTGCAATAAACTAATGGCATTTGATGCTAATGGTTTATACGCTTCAGCAATGTCGGATTTAGACAGTGAATATCCGAGAGCAGAAAGTGGAAGACCGTTTCTACCAGAAGAAGAAAAAGAATTTGTAAAACTCTTCAATAAACAAAAATTTAGACCTAGAACAGCTATTTTAACAGTGTGGTTTGACTATCCCAAAAACATGTTCTTCCAGCCGATACCAGCTAAAGATAAAATCATTTTCACGAATAAAGAAGGTAAAAAGGAAACTGATAACAAAATCAGGTTCAGAAATGGTTTCTGTCACGACGTTTTAACATCGGTTGATATTCAAGAAATAGTTAAAGCCGGTGGACGAATTATTAGAATATTAGATGTATAGTATACGAAGAAATTTTTAAAACTCCACCCTATAGAGATTATATTTTAATTTTGAGAGATCTAAGAAATAAATATAAACGAAAAGGTAATATCGTTGGTAGTAAATGCATGAAATTATTAGGTAATTCCTTGTATGGTAAATCAATTCAAAAAGATATATTCACAACTAGACATTTATGGAATGAAGCAACTTTACAGGCTAACTTTGATTCACATATTAAAACCTATGAGAAAATTAATGATACTCAATATATTGTTGAAACAGAAATGGAAGAAAAAGAGATTACTACCGAAGATCACTCAAGTAAATCTACACGACTAACACCTAGTCATTTGGGATCATTCGTTTTATCTCACAGAAAAAAAATAATGAACAATTTCATTTATGTAATAAATGGATTTTATAAACCCGAAATATACTATACCGACACCGATAGTTTGTACATTTCATCCAACAATTAGAAAAAACTAAACAGAGCTGGTTTGGTCTCCGAAAAAGACTATTGCAAAGGTAAAAACGATTACGGTGACGGTGGAATTATATTTGGTTTATATTTAGCACCAAAAGTTAAATACAATATCATTCTAACTTCTGGTGTGTTTTAAAAGAAAAGAAAACATGTAAAGGTTATTCTAATGATAAGACAAATGTAGAATATTACATTCAGTTAGCAAGCGGGCATGATGTGTCGATTGAATTTAAGAAACCATGGGAAAAAGTTTTACCAATGGAGTAGTTATTCCAAAGGATGATGATAAACAAACTAAAGTTTTTAAAAGTTATTTGAATAATGTTAAAAGAAAACCACCAAAACAGTAAAGGAATGATGTATCCTTACAACGACAAAGATGAGTATAGTTTTGATGAAAACTATGAATTTGATGATTTCGATTATCTTACTATTCTAGAAGAGAATGAAGATCTATTTGACTCGTTTTAAATGAAGTTGAATGACAATTTCTTCGTTGCCAAAATCTATGAACCTGTTTTACCGTCTTTGATTTCCAGATTAATATCTTTGATCATGAAAGAATTGACTGGTAAATATGTCGTTTGAAACGGTTTCTCTATAATTCTGTATTCGATCGGCACCGTAAAAGTCGGTATGCTGTATATGGTTTGGCGTTTATGCTTTTTGAAAAATCCACCGTTGATCAAATTACAGTGAATGTTGATCACGTCGATGTCGTTCTCGATGTTGGCCTTGTGCGGCGCCAATGTCGATTGCGCGTATATTCGTTTATCGAACCCTAGTAACGCATTCAACGAATTTTCTACGTTGAAATCGACTTGACTGTTATCAGTTTTATTTTGTTCAGATTCAAATTACTTTCGAATTCGATATTGTTTTTACCGCTCACGCTTCCTGCGTATTCGGATAGGTAATCGTTGGTGGCTACGTATTCGTAGCTTCCCGGTAGTAAGCTTATGGTTTTGAACGTAACTCCGTTATCCGTCGATATTTTTAGTTGATTGTTGTTTTCGTTGATATTTCTAATGGAATTGTAAACGGAGAAATACTTTAATCCCAGTTCGTACTGTTTATTGCGATCGAGTTCATACTCGTAGTCTAGAGACAATTTGATGTCTGATTTATTCGAGGTGATAACGGACAATTGTTTTAATGACGTTTATATAGTCTTTTTAGTGATGATTTTTTTTCTCCAAAAGTCGTTTTAATATGCCATTGACTTCATTGTATTGTCTGTCCGATCGATGGCCTTCCTTCATGGCCGCTAATATTACTCGTAATCTATTAACTAGTTCCTCGTTGTTGTCGGATAAAAACGTTATACCTTGTCCAGATGCCACCATATCATCGAATTCGTCTATTTCTTGTATGATTGGATAATCTTTTGCATAATCATCTACATCCTCTTCCTCAATAACTTTTGTTATGTATAAATCAACTTCTTTCAATGTTCTTGTTTCGGGTCCTGACTTTCTGATAGCAAGTAGAAATTTTGAGTATGCTACTAAATCCTTGTAATCGGCAATTTCAACATCCTCGCCATTCATTAAATCTATTAACCCTTTTGTTAATGTAAATATAAAGTCTTTTGTGTCGATTTTAAATTGTGGTGAATTTCCACTAAATCTTATTCTAAAACCATTAAACAATAACCCCACTTCATCAATGATTGGTGAAATGCTCTTTGGTAAATCTGGGTCAGGATTTGAAAAAAGACGTTTTATATCATCTAATGTCTTAATACCACCATATTTAATCGGTTTGGGGTGATGAGGTTCTATATGAGGTGTGGGTTCTAATTTCTTTTTAATATCCTCTTGAGATTTAATATTGGTTGAATTAGACTTTGTAGATTTTCCGTTAATCCGAGTTGTTGTAATCTGTTATTTTCAACTTGGGTCTTTATTTTATTCTTAGCTTTGATATATTCTCTATTTCTTTTTAAAATATTATTCCAATCCGTCATTTAAAAAAAAAAAAATTAACATCTGTCGATCATAACTCTTTCTCCCGCAGGTTTTCTAGTATTAACAAATACATATCCATGATCATCCGGGTTTCTCCTTTGAGCTTTACAAACCTTTTTAAATGTATCTCTGTCCATTCCGTGATTTATCGACTGAATGATTTGAGATAAATCTTTGTCGTTTAATTCGAATAATAAAATTGCGTTCTTTCTGATAAACATGGCGTCCATTCCGTAGAAAGATTGGGATTGGTATATGCAGTGACAGTTTTGATGTCTTCCTTTCGTGAAGAATTCTTGTTGAACGGTTTGACTTTTTTGTGCCACGCAGTCGTCAAAGACAATCAAGTTCTTTCGGTGGTTGTCGATTTTAGACAAGTTTAAATCGTTGTCGTTTTTAGTCAGAAATACTTTGACGTCGGTCGGTTTCAGAGAAGGATTCTTTTCTTTGATAAAGCCGTCTAAAATGTCTTTTATTTCCGCGTTCTCTTGCAAGTCTTCGTTGCTTTCGTAGTAGTGAAAAATGTCTTGAACTTCTTTTTTCGAGACGTATTCCAAAGCTTTGAGAAACTGATAATAGGATTGTTCGGGAGTGGTCGTGTAAATATACAGAGACTCGAAATCTAAAAGGTTCGGTGTTGTCAACATATTAAAAGTGAGGTAAGTCTTTCTACAAACCGAAGATCCGCAAATGCACATGAGCATGGGGTTGCTAGGAAATATGTCCGAATGTTTGAATTTCTTGCTCATTTTTATTTATTACATTTTCGTACCAAATATCACCCCGTTGCCTTTACACTTTGAAAGAAAGATTCCCTCGCCCAAACGTATGTTTTTAAAAAATATTGCGTTGCCCTTGTGTTTGACTTTTATTTCTCAGGTGTCGATATTATCTATTAATTTGCTTAATCCCTCTTTAACGGTTTTCTTGGTTTCTTCAAATGTTTTGCTTCTTCCAGCAATAAACAGTAGCCGGTTACATCTCCTTGTGTTTTTTCAATGTGAATATTAATGTTTACCCCTGTTTTGAAAAGATCTTCTTGATGAGCTGACAGATCGAAACAAAAGATTGGATGATTGAGTGAAAAATATGTGTATTCAAACTGAGGAGTATTTCCAAACAATTCGCACATATTTTTATAGTTTCTGTACAATTCGTTGTAATCTTTTTTGGAAGGATCAATTGTCAAAGGTTGATTGGGATAATTATCGTTGTTCAATCTGACTTGAACTTTGCGAATGATGGGATCTTGAATATGGTTCAATGCCACTCTGAAAATGTTGTTGTTGTTTGTCTGAGAGTCTGGTAAGTTTTTGAAACCGACCATTAGATATCTCGCTGGTTTGACGGTGTTGGTGATTGGCCACGTGGTGGATTCTCCCGTTAAAGTCATGCTACCTACCATGTTACGACGAAGAAAAGCAATTTCGATGTCTTTGGTTAAAGAGTTGAATATTCTCGTTTCCACTTCTACGGATGGAGTAATTACCGGTATGTAAAGTTGGATTTTCGTTATTTCCAATTTTGCGTCAGAGTTGTTTTCACCAAAGAATATCTTGTTGTCGTTGATTTCTCTTTGCAAATGAATTTTATACGGCAAACCTATGGAAACCTTTCTGTGTTCCAAGAGACCAAATAAAGGATACAACTTCCAATTTACGTAATTACCCCATCTGTTGTTCTCGACAACATTGTTGTATTGAAGCGCTCGTTTTTCAAATCCGTCATTTACTCCGCGAGACACTCTTTCCAGTGTGTTTCTAGCAACTACCCTTATCCTAGCAAGGTCTGCGTCATTTGCTACAGTTCTGACCGGTTCTTTTAAAACTTCTCCGTCACCGACATCGGGAATCCATCCCAAAACTGAATCGTAGTTTTTGGGATACAGAACCGTTTTCAACATTGTGTCAAACTCCCCGGGGTGTTTAATGGTTTCTATCGGATTTGAACCAGCTTCCAAAACCATTTCGCTGAATAAAGACGGAAAGAAATTGTTTTCTAAAGTCGTGTTGGTTTGTGGAATTCGATTCTGAGTGGCGTCTTTGATTTTGAAATCGCATCGGAAATGGGCATCGGAAAGCAGCAACCAATTGGACAACGAATTATTTCAAAGGTAACTCTTCCTCCGTCGTTTATTTGGGTCTTTGTCCCTACCGAGGGTGAGATGATTACGTAATCCTCTTTCTTCTTGTTGAACGAATATTGAATCGGATCATACAATTGAAAGATTGGATCCAATCTGTAATTTTTGCTTGCCATTTTTATCCAATGATTTTAAACCCTTTTCCTTGTTTTTCTAGGGCTTGTCGTTCTAGTCCTTATTTCTTATCTCTCTTATTAGCTGCAGTTCTTTAAGTTCGTCAGATGTTTTCACTGCATCGCTTATATTTACTCCTGCTTTTGCCACAGATCCAAGAGCTTGCGCTTCTGAGGAAATGAGGGATTTGTTGTTTGAGACAAAGTTGGCCACTTTGGGGATGAGATATGTTAGCGCAGAGAAGAAACCGTCTCCTTCGAATTTTTTTTGTTTGTGTTTTAAAATTAAAGACATCTTATTTTTTAATGCGGTTATTTTATACTGTATTATTATAGTGAATCTTGTGTGGTCAGTCTCTTGGTCAACGATGTCATGCTAGTGTGCCGGCGGTCAGCCCATCGTTTTGGTAGATTTAACCATTTGTATATCCTGTGATGTTCTAAGGATTTTAAGTGATTTATATTTTGGACACATATACTTTATTAGATAATTAATATGGACAGAATAACTCCTATTGTGTTGTGAAAGTACGATGGGAACCAACATCCCGTGGATGGATGGATACAAGAACATTCTATCATAGGCCCGGGTAGGGGTGTGACAGTTTCTTTGATTATTTTTAGCATCCGTTAACTAGATAAGCTTAGATCAATACGTCCTGTCAAAAAGCGAAAGTAGTTAAATATGACAAGTGGTCAGGTGTCTTCGACAGTTCCACTCCTTCGCAGTTTCGTAGTGTGAATTGAAAGACAATATAATTGAAAAAGTGTTGATAATCTGAGACAATCAGAATAAGAAAAAAACATCAAGTAGTCTACCTCTATAAGACACTAGCCTAATAGGCTAAGCCTTTGCTAGTAGTAGTATGCTAGTATCGATGGCGGTAGTGTGATTGATCTAGGCCTTACCATTTTCCAATTTCAATTTAATCCTTTCGAATTTAAGGATAACTCCTGTTATAATAGTGGGCAGTTCAATTCATGTAGGATGGTAGTTCTGGGCCCTACCATTTTCCTATTATAATAGTTTTGTTGGGTTAGAAAGTTCTTGAAAAAAATTATCTTTATGTTTTTTGACAGAAATAAAGACATTGAACATGAAGAATTGGAAAATGAATATTCAATGGAAATTCCTAATTATAATCTCTACAAAGACATCAATACTGATACCAACTTTTCATTACTGAAGTTAGAATCTATGCTGTGTTACGAAGAAACTTGATGACGACTCAAAGAAACTTTATACCAATCGTTTTCTGAGAATAGCATCTACTGACGGTTTACATTTTTTCAAATCCGAATGTCATGCAGAAATGAAGAAGAAAGTTTCGAATCACATTGACATAGATGGCATTATAGCTGAATCCAAATGTGAGTGTGCTGCTGGAAATGTACCCACTATATGTAAGGCAACTGATAGAACAAACCTTGAAAACCGTTTTAACTCCATGACTGAACCTTCCCAAGACATACAAGCTGCTCCTCTTATCCATGGAAAGAAGTTTGAAAAAATTGCTATTGACGAGTTTGTTAAACACAGGATACAGTCGACCAATGTGGAACATCTTTTTGTAAAGGTAGTCTGTTTCTAGCTTCATCACCGGACGGATTGATGGATAATCATAATGTGATTAAGGTGAAGTGTCCATATTCATCTAAAGACAAATCAAAATCAAAAGTATTATCTTTCAGAAAATCATGACTATTATTTTCAAGTTCAGGGTGTACAGGACGCCAAGGGTGCATTTTCATTGTTAACACCTTTAAAGATATGAAATTCAAAACTATCAACAAGAATGACACTTTTATTCAAAGTATGGTACAGAAATTAACTTTGTTTTATAATTATAACTTTTCCTAAAGTTTTGTTTTGTCAAAATATTCCTATTCAAAAAGTAAAAAAATAATTGAAATAGATGCTATAAATTTTTTTTTTTTTAAAAATCTAAAAGTAAAAATGCTTTCTAAATGTTATTCTAGACAAAACTGAAGAAAGAAAAGTATGCATGTTAACACATCTTAGTATGCCTGTATTCACATGAATGAATAGCCTATTTCCTGTGATCCTATCTTGATACATTCTAGGCCAATAACCATATCAATGCAATACATTTTGAATTTGAGCCTATCACGATAAGGAAAAGGCATAAACTTGAGAGATTGTCTATTTTTCCATGCATATTCAAAATATAACTTTTAGTTGCATGCCATTTGTCCCAGAATTTAGGTCTGATTTGAAATAAACAGAATTCCCCCCCCCCCCCACCCACCCCCCATAACAACATTTTGAACTGAAAATTCTTTTTCGTAAAATCATATTCAAAAATTATACTTGTTAGTTAGGCCTACTTTAAAATCAGCACTAGTTGGCATTTTTATCAACCCAGGCCATAGCCATAGATAGACGAAATGGGAGTAATAATGTAAACATAGAACTGTATAGCCTACGGTCAGTAGTCTGACATACAGTTCTATGATGTTAATAAGACTGAGTCAGACCGTAGCCGTACTAGTGTCAAGTGGCTTCCGAAGAATATAGACATATCACTATGACAAGTATTTCAAACATTAAAAAGATAACTTATCTAATAAAGCAAATGAAAACACTTGCCCGAGGATGTAAATTCGACGAAATCTCTGCAAACTACGCTCCCACCGCATCTCCCTTCAGTGATTTCCGCCTTTTCACAGCCACAATCCACTTCTTTCGAAGGTTTTTATGGAAGGGTTTTTGGGTCTAAATAAGATGATATGCTAATATTTGTCTAATCCATTGTTGAAATGTTCAGAATGTCAAAATACTTATTATGATACCGTCAAATTTGTCATATTGCTGAAGTAAATTTTAATAAAACAAATGTGACATATCATTTTCAACATTTCTCTTAGCAATATGCAAATGAGATCAAAAGGCGTGGCTTCCAGAAAAAATGTTTTCACACAATGCAAAGTTTCCGTGGTAAATACCCTTAAGAATTGCTAAGAGAAATGTTGAAAATGATATGTCGAAAATGATATGTCGATAATGATAATACCAAAATGATCTGTAAACGTGTAATTAGTGAGGAAATGACAAAACACATTTATTTTATCGCAATTTACTAAAGCAATATGACAAAGTTGACGGTATCATAATAAGTATTAGACAATTTAACAGAGCGTCTTATTTTGACCCAAAAACACTTCCATAGGTTTTTGTCGATTGGTGACAAATACCCTCCTCTATTTGAACATTTAGGAACACAATAACAAGTTTTAGGCATGTTGTAATCAGAGTTCTGTAGCTATATTAACAATATTACTAAAGCGTACAGTCGACTTCCGGGACCCTAGTCGGTGGCGCCATCTTCAGGGGCAGATAATCCGATTTTGGTTCCCCATTATACACATACATACCAAGTTAGATGAAAATCGGATAAGAAATAAGAAAGTCGGTAAATTAAGTGGGGGTATCCCTTTAATGTGCTTCTGTAAGCTCAACTTACAGTATAACACGGTTTAATCCATCCTAAAGCTTACTGATATACCTTAAGGAGGATATCTTTAAAACAAGTGAAACTTTGATTTCTATTGGGGTTGACAGCTAGGTTAATCTAATTATCTAATAATAACCCCATGTTAAGTGAATGAGGTTTTGAATTTGCATGTAAGGTATGCATGTTATATATCTATGGAAAGCTCAGAATCTTTTCATTACAAAATCGAAAGAATTATTGCTATATCTCTATTAGCGACCGAGATATAGCACTGCAAAGGCTCAAAATGGTCCATATTTAGACCCCTATAAAATGGAAAGGGTTGTCTGACCCCAAAGGTCAAAAGGTCATCAGATAGACAAGGTCACAAATTATCACAGGAAATATGAAGGTCATCAAAGTTCAAGGTCATGAGATATACGCCTTCAAACTTTCAAAAAAAAAAAACAACCAGTTGTACAAAAAAGGCAAAATCAAAAATCAAAATTCTGCTCCCATCAGATTGTACACAAACATTCAATCTATCGTTTGACACAAATATTACGCAAATCGGATAAAAAATGAGGCAAACCAATATGGCGGCAAACATATTACTTCCGGTACGAATTTTTTTAGTTTAAAAAGTTTGCATTAAGACTGGTAATATAATGCATATGTTATTTTTAACTTAAATCAATTCCACCGGAAGTGATGCCACCGGAAGTACTAACATCGAAACCGGAAGTGATGAAATTTTTTTTGAATGTGTTCTTTTATTCCACTTTGTTGGCGGTCTACACCAAGTAAGTTTCAAGTCAATCCGCCAAATAACAACCGAAATAGTATTTTTCGATTGATTTCGGCAAAAAAAGTCGGTGGGTTCGTTTTGCCGCATTGCGCAACTTGCCGCATCGTGCTCAACTGCACAAAAACGACTTGTACAAGGAAACTAAAGGTTTCTGATTAAATCCGGAATGGCCATTTGTTTCACATGAAACAAAATATTTTAATGTGATGTCCCGCATCGATTTTTATACGCCCACATCTCTTTATGTGGACGTATATTGTCGGCACCCCCGTCCATTCGTCGGTCCGGCCGTTCGTCAACATTTGCTTGTAAACGCTCTAAAAACTAGATTTTTTGATGGAACCAAATGAAATTCGGTATGTGTATCCATATTCATAAAACGAAGATCAAGTTCGAATTTGAGCTATATCTTGAATATGCTATTCCTCTCTTAGTTTTCGACCGATTTTGATGAAACTTAAAATGGATGTTATTGGACCTAAATCGAAAGATTTGAGAAAGTTTAGTTAACTTCGGATTAAATTTAAGGCCTCTTACGTTAGTTTTGAGGAGTTATCGCCCTTTAACCTCTACACAGTAAGTGCTTCTATCAACATCAATTGCTCTTAAACACTCTAAAAACTAGAGTGTTTGAAGGAATCAAATGAAATTCTTTATGTGCATACATATTCATGAAACGAAGGTCCGTCAGTCCTTCCGTCCGTCCGTCCATCCGTCAACATTTGCTTGTAAGCACTCTAAAAACTAGATTTTTTGATGGAATCAAATGGAATTCGGTATGTGTATACATATTCATAAAACGAAGATCAAGTTCGAATTTGAGCTATTTTCGACCGTTAGAAGAAGAGTAATTTGCCTTGCCCCAAAGTCTTGAATATTTACCATCCGCATTCCGTGGTGGGCGTATATGGCTGTGGTCCACTATCTAATTTTTCTGTTTTTCTAAACCATCGCAGGTTCGTCGATTTTTGTAGTTAGTAGTGTAGAGCCAATCAACCCCAGCTTCTACCTTGTCCACCAGGACATTCTGGGACTTATCTGGAAGTAGTTGGGGTTGAGCCACTGCCGAATTATAGAGCACATCGAATACGAGAATTTTAAACTTCTCGCTTGATAATTCTGATTTACTATTCAGAAGATTTTCACTTTCAGACATTTCAGTTGCCATTTTTTCTAGCACGAGGGTGACGTTATTGGCACGCAGTAGATGGACATTACCAAATTTATTTATTGCACTTGTCTTTTTTCGTTTTATGGATTTATGTATTTTGTATTACGGTTCTGGTCGTTTCAACTTGGTATTTACATGTCGTTTTTATGCAGTTGGGAACGTTGCGGCAAGTTGCGCAATGCGGCAAAGCGAACCCACCGAAATAAGTATGCAACGAATTTTCGAAAATCGAATTTTTTTACTGCTATCATTTGCCCTTTGTTACAAGAAATACAATGAAAGAAACCCGATCAATATCGGTTGATAAACATGCCCTCTAGAGGCCATTTTCCATTTGTTGCTAACGTCGCTTCATATTGCTCAGAAAACTTTCGTTTTACATTCATTCCACAATTCTCCACAGGTTAGAAAACATGACTAAGAATAAAAGAATGTTTGTCAATTACTAAAGACCAAGTTTGATGAAATCCGGATAAAAAATTTGGAAATACGCATGCGCACAACAAAAATTCAATATTTCCATCAAATTTAGAATTGGATTATACCCATACATACCAAGTTTGGTGAAATTCGAAAAAGAAATAAGAAAGTTGGTAATGCGCACGCGCACAACAAAAATTCAATGTTTCCATCAAATTTAGAATTGGATTATACACATACATACTAAGTTTGATGAAAATCGGATAAGAAATAAGAAAGTTGGTTGTGCACAAAAAAAATCAATATTTTCAACAAATTTAGAACTGGGATATAGATATACATGCCAATTTTGATGAAAATCGAATAAGAAATAAGAAAGTTGATAATGCGCATGCGCAATTCGATTATTCCATCAAATTAAGAATTTCATTTCATTCGTTATACTCACCAGTCGGAAATATACTTATGGATAATCTTCCTGTACAACTCTCTCAACTCGCTCAAACTCATCAAGAGATTTAATGGGTTACTCCCCTTCCCTTGATATGTATTGTACCTTAGTTCATCTTCCGGCGTGAAAAACAACGCACGTGTTTCGTCTCTCTCTCGTTTATGTTACATTTTTCCTTAGATATTTTGATTTGTAAGTTTTTGATATATTTCTCTGTCATATACTTTGCTATGCCAAACGCTGGGAATAATGAGAAATCTAATTTATCGACAGATTCAGATTTGGAAGTAAGTGTTCGTTCCGAATCGCCGTCTGTTAAAGTTTCGCAATCGAAGAAGAAAACTCGTTCGAAAAGAGTGTCATCCACCGAGGTGAACAATCGACTTAACAATTTGGAAGCGAAAGTGGATGATAAATTTGATAAATTAATCCTACTATTTACAGTTTGCCAAATCCATCAGAATACCGGTTGTTTAACTCCGCGGAGATCTGTTCGGGATGAAAATCAGGATATTGGGGATTTAGTCTCACAGATACCTAAAAACTCCTCCGATAGTGGGAGAATAGATCCCTCCGGAGTCCCTAAGTTGTTGATCAATCCAGAATTTCGAGCAAGAAACTTAGAAATGGATGTTTTATCTCTCGCCCCCGATGAACAGGAAGAGCGAGAATTTATGGCGTCATTGTCTGATCAGGAGTCGAATTTAGGACCCGATTCTCATGTCGATTTGCCCCATAGTCCTCAAAAGAGACTAAAGTCTTCAGCTGACAACAACAGGCCTTCGTATGTGAACTATTTGCCTGAAACAAGCACTTTACAAAACACAATGAAAGAAAATGTAGAGTGTCAAAGTTCTGATGTTTTGTCCAAGCTATTTGGGAGTTCAGTGAACGACGATGTGCATAAAGTTGGACTGATTTTAGACAAGTCCCAGTCTGACACCCTATCGAAATCTTGGAGAAGCCAAAATCCGGATCGTCTTACAGCATATAAAGAAGAATACCGTAGCTGTTTTCCGGTTCATGAACTTTCAGAGCAGTTTTTCAACGTCCCTAGCTTAGATGACATATATCTCAAATGCATATTTGCAACAAGCTCTTGGTACCTTTATGAACAATTTTAACAACGACAAGATGAACAACGATCAAGCGATTGCCCCAATTAAAGATATGTATGAAATATCAACAAAAGCCATGGACCAAATGGGGAGATCAGGCGCCTTCCATCATATGATAAGACGTAAAGCTACGGCGGCAGAGACTGGTCTCACAGACATAAAGGATTTTCAATCAAAGCTGATATACTTGCCCTTAACTTCGGATGGTGTTTTTGGGTCTTCCTTGGAGGACAGTCTCAAGGTTAGAAAATCACAGAAGGAGCAGATCAAGGACTTGCTTCCAGAATTTGCTGATAAAAGTCAAATTTATCAAAATTTAAAGAGGAAATCTAACACTTTTCCTGACAAGTCATACGACTTCAAAAAGCCAAGACTGGATCAACATTATCCTAGGAATAGACCTTACTATAATCAGAATTGGGAGAAGTCATCGACCAATCCTAGACCTTACAGAAGTTACGATAAGGGCGAAGCCAAAGCCAGTCAGGGTTTTCGGATCCCTAAAAATCAAGAATACCAGTATAATTCAGTCGGGGGTCGTTTAAGATATTTCATAGAGAATTGGGCCAAAATAACAGACGACCAATGGGTGTTTTCTGTGATACGAGAGGGTTACAAGCTGGAACTCCTCTCGCCACCCCCGAATACGGGTATTCGACAAACAACCATAGCGCAAAACCATGTAGATATTTTAAACGCAGAAATTGTTTCGTTATTGGAAAAGGAAGCTATAGAATCAGTTCCAGTGGAGGAAATCCATTTAGGTTTATACAGCACCTTCTTCCTCATTCCAAAAAGGTCGTCCAACAAGCTGAGACCGGTGATCAATTTAAAACCTTTAAATCAATTCTTACTAAAGAAACATTTCAAGATGGATACCATTTCCAAGGTCGTTTTTGCATCCAAGGAAGGTGTTATCAGTGGAAAGTTCTTTGCTTCGGTCCGACAGTCGCCCCAAAGGTTTTTACCAAAGTCATGTCCGTCGTTTCTGCGTACCTGAGAAAGCACAGTTTAAGGGTAGCAGTATACCTCTACGATTGGTTGCTACTGCATCGGAACAAAGACACACTGAGACAGCATCGATACTTCGTCCTAGATCTCTTGGAACCTCTGGGTCTTCTTGTGAACCGAGAGACGTCGTCTCTTTGTCCCAGCCAAGAAGTAGTTTATCTGGGAAGCTTATTCAAGACCCACCAGGGTAGTGTGTGCCCTACGATAGACAGGATGAAAAAATTAGTAGAATCAGTAAATCATATCCAGAACAAGCGCAGTCAGCAGTCAGGCATTAGACTATCTTTGCCTGCTAGGTTTGATGGCTAGCTGTATAGAACTGATCCCAAATGCTCGCTTACACATGAGGCCTATACAACTACATCTACTCTGTTTCTGGAAGCCATCTCTGCATGCAGTAGAAAAGGTTATCCCATTTAATCAACATCTACAATCACATCTTTCATTGTGGTTAGAGCCAGCGAACATTTTACAGGGAAGATCTCTTCTACCTCGGCTATCCACAGTGACCATAACGACGGATGCGTCGATGGAAGGGTACGGAGGTTACTTGGATCAGCTTCTTATACAAGGGACCTGGTCAAGGGAGCAAAGACGTTATCACATAAACCTTCTGGAGTTGGAAGCTGTGCATATCGTAGTATCCAAGTTTATCCGCCCGACCGAATGGATGCTCAACAGCCCAGTAGTTCACAAGCTATTTCTGCATTGGTTGCCCCTTTGATAGACCTTTTTGCATCAATAGAAAATCGCCAAACCAAGATTTTCTGTTCCTGGAGTCCCCACCCACAAGCATTGGCACTGGACGCGCTGTCAATTTCATGGATGAACATGTACGCTTATGTTTACCCTCCAATATGCCTTATTCCGAAAATTCTCTGTTACATGAGGCAATTTCATTGTCAAATACTCCTAGTAGCTCCTTATTGGCCACGAAGGACTTACCGATCTACTTCAATTGCTGATTGCTCCACCCATTCGACTTCCGGATCTCCTAGATAGCTTCTTGCAGCATCCTGGCGTAAGGGGACACAAAAGGATTATTCATACAAATTTGAACGATTCAGGCGTTGGTGTAGTCCAAGGAAAATTGATCCCCTGGGCATTTCACTGACACAAATAACCGATTTTCTATCAGATCTGTTTTCTGCCGGTTTACAGTATAGGACGATAGCAGGATATCGTTCCATGTTATCGGCAATTATCGGCGTTTTTAACTTCAGGCCCCCTAAGTCTCGTTTATTACCAGAATGGGGTCTACCAACCGTGCTAGACATGTTGGAGAAACCTCCATTTGAGCCATTGTCTGATATATCCTTCAAACTCCTCACTTTTAAAACTGTATTTTTAATTGCAATAACTACTTTCAGACGATCCAGTGATATACAGTCATTAATGGTTGGTGAAAATTTTATGAGAATTCAAACAAGTGGTATTACGTTTCTACGTACTGGATTAGCAAAACAAGACCGACCAAATCATTATGGTGCGAAAATATTTGTACCAGCATTTCCCAAAAGAAAATTTCTGGATCCAAGAAGGTGTGTATTACAATATTTAGAGGCAACAAAAGATATTCTACAAATGTTAGAGGCGATTACCAGCCTCGACTTTTTCTGTGTCTCTCGCCGCCGCCTTTCCGCACAAACCATTGCAAGGTGGCTTGTTCAGACTATACAAATGGTCTATAATGGCGCTGTTCATACAAATGCACATTCCACAAGAGCCGTAGGTCCGTCTTTTGCTTTATATGAAGGAGCTTCTGTACATTCCATAATGGATGCAGCTGATTGGTCTAAACCGTCGACGTTTATAGATTTTTATCTCAAGGATGTGAATGTTAGTGTTCTTGAGCAGGATAGTCATCCCCCGGCGAGTTTTTCCGAGGGTATGTATATTTCTAAGGTTAAACACGGTAAATTAAGTATAATTCTCTTGTTATGGTACATTAAACAATACATTCACTTTTTCAGGATAGCAGAAGACTATGGTAAATGGCGATTAAGTATGGTCGCATCTTGATGTAAATATTCGAAAAGAATACAGTATATTTATCAAGCATGTACCTGTAGAAAATTAAAATATTTATTGTACATATAGGGGTTTGTCTTAAAATTCCCTCTCCACCATCAAATATACTGCTTTGGAATCTAAATTTATCCATAAGTATATTTCCGACTGGTAAGTATAACGAATGAAATGAAATTGAAAAAATTTGTATCTTTTTCAAGTTTCAATTTTATGAATTACCGTACTTACCATTCCTATTACCCACCATCATCCCCAGAGGAATTTTGATAGCAGTAGGTAGGAAAGCTTTTGTTTTTCACGCCTACATGAACTAAGGTACAATACATATCAAGGGAAGGGGAGTACCCATTAAATCTCTTGATGAGTTTGTACAGGAAGATTATCCATAAGTATATTTCCGACTGGTAAGTATAACTCATTCCTAAAATTGAAATTTGAAATAGATACAAATTTTTCAATTTGATTATACACATACATTCCAAGTTTGATGAAAATCGGATAAGAAATAAGGAAGTTGGTAAATCCGAGCATTTCTTGTCTGGAAGGATTCGTTTGGTAAAACAAAAGTACATGCATTGGATTGTCCTAATTTAGGCTTAAAGTTGCATCTGTCCTACTAGGCTTGCCTCGGGTACCGTTGATACAGTTATCTAACATTTTCATAGAACACGGTTTTGGTAATACCTGGGACTGCATTTTATTATCTGGAAACCCAGCCGCCGCACCTTTGATTAAGGAATACTTCAAATTGGTAAGGGAAGAACAGGCACAAAGCCATGTTTTACCCAAGCAAGCTAAGCCTATTTTCGTTGCCGGTGACAGAGCCAGCGATGTGGCTCACGTAGTCTGTCAGGAAATAAAACTGTTACTAGATCAGACACGGTTCGTCTTTAGCCATACTTATGGGAAAACCAATTTGTAGTAAAGATAGTATTATCTGTCCAATTCTTGCCATTGAAAATTAAGTTAAGGGTTGCAAATCTATGGGGGTGAATATATCTCAAGGCTATTTATTAAGAGTCGCTTCAGATGATGGATGCGTTCTCGATCAACCAGTCTCATACTCATAGTTTATGAGCGTTTGAGATCATACATGTCCACTTCAGGCATTTACGAGGGTGACTCCGCATAGTTTTAGAAGTGGTTGCGCCTTTACACTCGCTTTATCGGAGTCTGACTGTAGCTCGTCTGAAATGATGCATCACTTTTGGTTGGTTCACCGACTTTGCAGACTGGATAAGCAGTGAATAATTTAAAAGTTTCTGTCCAATCGATGATGTTTTCAGGGCTAGAACCTATGGAAGTAGAAGTTGCTGTCTTAGAAGATGTTGTCTTTGTATATGTCTTTTTCTTGTCAGTGGAATCTTCTAATTGGCTCAGAAATCTGCATACATTGTATCAGCATCTGCAGTCTTAGGAAGGTGTAGACATGTGACGACGCCAATTGTAACTATTAGTGAATAATTCGTTACACTTGGAAACCGGACACACATGCATCTTGTTATCATGAAATATTGTGGCGTGTTGCTGATATTCTCTTCGTGTATCAAATATGGCTTTACATTCTACACATGTTATTGTTGGTCGTTTCTCTGAATGTGTATGACTGCTGTAATCATCATTTCTTCTTTTCGAAGGAGTATTTCTGCGTCTCGCATCCCTTCGGCTGCTTCCTGGGTGAAATCTCTTCATATTCTTTAGGCGAGATTCCTATACGTTTTCTTGGAATATATACCCAAACCTGAGAACCAGTTTCAAAGTGATTTTTCAAGCATTGTTGGTCGTAACGTTTTTTAGCTCTTAGTGCACTCGCATTTAAATGTTCACGACGTTATCAAGTCTACGAATAATATTATTGACGTATTCCACATGAGTAAACCTGCTACCTGGGGGTCTCCCCGTCAGAATTGTAACAGGAAGCGATACCTCTCGTCCTAGCATCGATTTGTTTGGGGAAAATCATGAGATTCATGTTCACACGAACGATAAGCTAAACAGACAATGTCCAAGAACGAATCCCAGTCTCTTTGAAATTCATCTACATAATGACTAAGGATATTCTGAAGAGTTCTATTGTAACGTTCAACCTGTCCATAACTGGCAGGGTGATACGGTGTCGTTCGAGTCTTTGTTGTTCCCATAAGTTTACATAGCTCTGAGAATAATTCGGATTCAAATTGTGATCCCTGATCAGAATGTATACTACTAGGAACAACAAATCGCAGTATCATGCTCAGAAAAGCCGAAGCCACAGTACTTGCAAACATATCAGCAATAGCTACAGCTTCAACCCATTTGGTAAAGCAATCTTGTATGACAACTACATACTTATTGCCAGATATAGTTTCCGGAAGAGGACCCATGATATCTATAGCTATCCTCTCCATTCGATAGCCACTTGACACTGACGAAAGGGGAACATGTGCTCAGTTCTTCGGTTGCTTCCGCATTTGTCCAGATTCACAAGTCTTTACCCAATATCGCACATCATTCCTCATTCCTGGCCAATAATATGATTGACTAGTCTTGGAATGTGTTTTATCATATCCCAAGTGACCACCTGAAGGTGAATCATGGCAGTTTTTAAGAATTTCTTCTCTCACCGATTTAGGAATGACACTTTTATAAATGACATCAAGTGGATTGTCAGATAACTGAACCCATTTTCTAACAAGAATATCATCCTTGATAGTGATCAACTTCCATTGGGACCAAAAAGCCTTGATTTCAAGAGACATCCCAGAGACTTTATCTCACGAAGGTTTGTCAATTTGTTTTCTAGATAGGATAGGATCATCTTTCTGAGCTTTAGAAATCATCCCATTTCCTTGATCAACCTGTAACAGAAAAATGCTTCGAACATCTCCATCATTTTGCTCTTCCGTAAAACAGTTACACATTCTACAATGTTTTCTTGAAAACCCGTCTGCGCTGCCATGCAATTTACCAGGTCTATGTACAATCTCAAATTGAAATTCAGACAGAACTGGCCAACCATCTGGCCAACTGACCTCATGATCCAACAAAGGGAAGTATGGGGGTGGGTTTTAAAAGCCAACCGCCTGCCGCTGCCAACCGGCATACCGGAGTGAAAAGAAGGCGCTAAAATGACCATTGTTAAATTGAATAAGAAAATGTGAAGGAAAATATCTCAAAGCAAGAATAGAAATATTAATTTGTTTCGTTTCATTTTTAAAATAATTTTGATTCCATAATATTGACGTCAACAAAAATTCCGTCAAATTGAATAGTTTCGTTTTGTAGTATGAACAACTACGATCCTTAAATTTAACAATGCTCATTTTAGCGCCTTTTTTCACTCCGGTATGCCGATTGGCAGCGGCTTTTAAAACCCACCTAAAGCATGGTCACTTCTCAAAGTAAACTTTTGACCATAAACATATGGTCGGAAATGCAGTAAGCAAACAACTACAGAGAGCAACTCCTTCCGTGTAGTGCAATCATTTTTCTGACTCTTGCTTAATGACTTACTACCGTAAGCAATGACATGTTCAATTCGTTTGTCGTCTTTCTGAGACAGAACAGCATCCTTTGTCACTCGCATCCGTATCCAAGATGTATTCTCTAAATGGATCTGGATGAACTAGTACAGGTGAAAACACTAATCTCTCCTTGAGGGTATCAAATGACATCTGACAGCTTTCAGTCCAACAAAATTTGGCTCCTTTATCTGTCAATCTGTGGAGAGGTTCTGCAATTTTGGAAAAATCTTTCACAAATCGTCTGTAATATGAGGACAATCCTTACCTCTGTAACACATTTTGGAGTGGCCCAATCCTTTACTGCTGATATCTTTGCTGGATTGGTAGATACTCCAACTTTGCCAATGTTGTGTCCCAAGTACAGGCCTTCAGACTTGAATAAATGACACTTACTTACTTTAAGCTTAAGTCCAGCTAACCTCGGCCTAAGACTTCCTCAAATCTAGTAACGTGTTCTTCAAAACTCCTAGCGAAGACAATAACATCATCTAGATAAATAAGACAGGTTTCCCAATGGAGACCTGACAAAACAATATCCATTAGTCTTTCAAAAGTCGCAGGACTATTTGTTAGACCCATGGGCATGACTTTGAATTGGAACATCCCACATGGAGTGGAAAACGCCGTCTTTGAACGGTCATTGTGATCCATCACCACGTGGAAAAATCCTAATTGCATATCAAGGCATGAAAACCATTCCACAATTTATTGACTCGTCTATTCGTGGCAACGGATAAGCATCCTTAGAAGTCACTGCATCCAAGCGTCTGTAGTCTATGCAGAACCTGGTGCCTCCACTTTTATTTTTCACTAAGACGATAGGCGATGACCATGGCCCACTTGCGGGTTCAATTAAATCTCGGCGAGTCATCTCCACAAGATGTTTCCTTACGTCCTCTCTTGATGCTTAAGGTAATCTTCTCGGAGGCTGTCTAACAGGTTTCTCTTCACCTGTGTCTATTTTATGTTTAACCACATCTGTTCTGCCCAGGTCACCTTCGTCTTCAGCAAAATTCTTAAACAACAAATCTTCTACAACACTTTTCTGCTCCGGATTCAACTCAGAATCCTTTAATAGTTCCGTTAATAATTTTGACTGCTTTTCTCCTTCATGTGTATTACCCGGTGCTACCTTATCTATATTTCGTAAAAGATTAACTCTACAAACTCCAAAAGCTCCTATAGTATGACACTGTATGATGCTCCATCTATATAAATTTCTCTTTCCGAAATATTTAATATGACATTTTCATCTGTCAAGAAATCAAATCCTATTATAGCTGATGTTGGTATATGCACAACTTCAAATGGATAGCTAAATTTCTTATCCCTGAGACTGAAATCAAACGTTGCACGACCAATAACGTCTGAAGGAGTACCATCAGCCTGGTTTAGACGACATGTTACTGGAAGCAATGCTGGAGGCTTGTCCATTAAATCACAGGAGTCCCTGGAAAGCATGCATAATCCTGCAGCGGTATCTAGTAAAAATTCAATTTCCCCTTCCTCTACATTTCCATTCACGTACAACCCTGAGCTATCAGGATTTAAAACGCTGACTATTCGTTCGGGACTTTGCTGATTTTCTCCCCTTCGATCTACATTCTTCTCAACATAAGTATTTTGTCTCCATGGTTTATCATCACGTGAATAACTACTCCTACGAGGCAAAGGACACATTATGGCATAATGTCCTATCTCGAAACAATTAAAGCAAGTTTTGTCTTCTACTCCTGTCTACGGATTCTTTTCGATTCTCATCCTATTGCATCGTATTATCCCCATCCTTAGCAGTTCTTCCAACTGTATCGATAATCTTTTCTTTTATAGATTTTATTTCTTCTGTAAGTATCTAAATTAATTTATTTAACTCATTGTTTTCTGAATCTACGGGTTTCTTACCATGCTTGTCCTTGACATTGGCTATCAATGCTGTTCTGGAATCTGGATCTGAACATTTAATAGCTTCCAACTCCATGGCATGATGAAGTCCTGTATTCAGGTCACGAGGACGACCCTGACTTACAAGCATCCTCATCTGACTATCTCCAAAGTACTGGACAAAATGATCCTTAGCAATCTTTTCTTTGATAATATCATTATTTGTAGGATAAGCTTTGTTGACCAAAATCCTTACTGAAGAAGCAAATTCTGATAGACTCTCATTGGGTCTCCTCCGTCGCTCTCTCAATTTCACTTTGTACATTTCAGCAAGCTGCGGTGGATCAAACTTTTGTTTCAAAGCAAAAATCAATTGTTGATAATCTCTTACGTCATCTGCTCTTAAAGTACCGAAAATATCGATAGCTTTGCCACTGAGGCTTATGACTAAAAACTTGGCTTTCTCTTCATAACTCCATTGATTAATTTCTGCTGTCATTTCAAACTAGTATTCTAAATTACCTTCACCATTAAACTTAGGTGGCATTGCAACAGGGTTTGCATACTTTTGTTGTGTTCTCGTTGCTGTTCGAGCACCGTCCTTGAGCATGGTGATCATTAAAATAAACTCTGGGTATTCTTAGTGACGGCAAGGAAAAATCTTCTTGTGTTCTCTTCCTGTTAGAAAGTAAACCAGTAGTCCGACTGTTCTGAGCAATACTTGGCTCACTACTATTTTGATTTCTAAAACTCGTCTGTCCAGCTGCTGGAGTGTGTGTAGGTGCATCTGTTGCATGATTATAATCTGAAGCTGGAGATACATTCAGTCTTCTTGATTGGTGCATCATTTGTTCAAGAGTTTGCATCTCCCTTTCAAATGCTTCGCTTAACTCTCTCACAGCTCTCTCTATATCTTCTAGTCTGCCTTCACTCGTCACCTCTGCTGAATTTATAACTTTCAATAATAATAATAACAGGAAGTAATCTAAAACTGTTGGAAATCCCACTCCAGCCACCATTTAAATTCAGTGTTACACGCACACTGAATTAAAATACAAAGACAAATAAACACTTTATATAGCATAAATAACAATATATACATAAAGGTTGACCAAGATTATTTCGGTGGAAGTGGAATTAAGACGATTTGTGGTTGTCTCTTACATGAATAATACAAAATAAAACGAATATCACCTTATTATAAACCCTTTTAACTTACATAACTTTATCTATGGACACAGGAAAAGAAGATAAAAATTGAAATGATGAGGACATTCAATGTTTATAAGTACTTTGAAAAATATACAGTTAATGGTCATGAGTTCAAGTAAACCATTTTAAAATGAAATACAGAACTCAACCTCACTTAAAACAATTATCAAATAGGAAAATATCCGTACTGATAAACATTTTGATAAATAAAACCAGTTGTTTTTGATGATCTACAAAGAGTGCCGACATAAAGATATTATAAAAAGGGACTTCAACTGAGAAACAAGTATGGCCGCCATTACTAAGTAAGGACAAAAAGGTAATAAAACATTTATGACAATAACTTTGGGCACCATGCTCTGATACCAAAAATAAAAGTAGGCACATACACAGAATTACACGAGCTATCATATGCAAAGCAAAAATAATCATAAAGTAAATTCTGCCTATTTATGCTTATGACTTTAAATTATATTCATATATAGCAGACCGGTAACAATATATCACCAAAATGAAGAGATCATGCACTTTAAGAATATAAAAGAAATTTTGTCGTATGTTAATTAGGTCACGTGACAGAGCTAATCAAAGTTAAAAATCGCGATTGTCAAATGACTATAGAACCGGAAGTTAACATTGCACAACAAATGTGGGGACATTTGTAGATAGATCTTACGAAGGGCAACAACTTTTGTTCTTGTCATAAGGTCACCAAAGGTCACGGTCACGAGATATGAGCCTTTAAAATTTTTGCCAATATTGAAAAACATATAACTAAAAAGCTAAATTTTGTGAAGACTCGACTGCTGATGTTATAGACATTAAAATGATGTAAATCCCATTAACCCCTATTTCAAGAAAATGGTTTAAAGAAAATTTTGACATTTCAAATGGCAGACGATCTTTTACTTCCGGAACAAATTCTATCAGTTCAAATCTTTTATATAAACAATTCTAGCATATTCCAAAAAGAATTTTTCAAATGTTTATAAAATTCCGGAAGTTGAAATTTCAACTTTAAGAGCAAATGACGTAAAAACCGAAAGTGATATAAAAATTTTGAAAAACAGAATTTTGTTTGCAATCAAAATGTCTGTCTACATGTTAATTTTCAGATTGATTGAAATAATATTGTAGAAGTTAAAAAAAACCGTTAAAATTAAATTAAAAAAGTCAGCGACAAAAGTCAAAATTTTAAATTTTTTAAAGTCCTAATTTTTAGTTATTAGTTTAAAGTAATGAACAAAAATAAAATGACGGTCGAAATAGATTTAGAATAAGAGCAGAAATTCGAAATACGCAATGAATGGTTATCGTCCTACGTCATTTCCGGTTGGGCAAAAATGCGTCATTTTACATTTAACAAACAACAAACATGTGTATATAGGTAATGATGTCAGATAGTGTGAGCCATGTACAGTTTTGGCTGGGGAGCGTGACCGGAATTCGAAAAAAAAACTAGAACTGTTCTAATAACAGTACTGATGCCGGGCGGGATACGACATTCAGGTACATTAATGTATGAGAGATGAAATAAATGATCTCAAATATAAGAAAGGTAAATTTTATGCTATAACAAATATACATACTTCCGATCAAAAAGGAGTTCATCATTCTGCTTTGTACAAAAACTCTTCAAATAACTTATATTTCTTCGATTCTTTTGGATTATAACTTTTTTTTTTTTTTTTATTAAAGCGAAGCAATTACATGCTATAGCCGTATAGAACAATCGAACATATATACAATAACAATATAGCAAAAAAAAAATAGTAAAAA